AGTGCTCCAAGATGTGGAACAGATTTTAAGAAATGCCGAGAATTTGACTTTTCGATGGCTGCAAAATGGATGCCGACAGGAATTTTGGGTTTTCTGATTATGCGTGTCTCAGAATGATGCAAATGCCATTTGCGGGATTCAAATTTAAAAATTTTCCGTGCCTTCGGCACGAGCCTCGTCCCCGCAAATATTTCATAAAATGTCCGCCACTTGCACACACGGTGGCTTAAAAGGTCTTAAAACTGTTTATTGTACCGATAAATAAAGGGGTTTTTATTGACTGGGATTTCAATAACTCGGACTGGGATTTCTAATAAAAGTCCAACTGGGACTGGGATTTTGCCAAAATTTCAGGTGGAAAATGGGATAGGGACCCCCCCCCCTTCAGGACCCTCACTATAGGCTAATGACTCGGCAAAATTACCAAACAACAGTCGGCAAAAGATCACTCACACCCCCCCCCACTCGAAGTGGGTTAGCGCCGCCCCTGGGGCAAGGTGGCAAAAAGTGCCTTTAAATTAATGAGAGTTTGATGGCAACTTTAATCTTTATGTTAGAAGCTGGTAACAGGCATTTCCTTATAGTTCAAGCCTTGGTAAATATAAGACTGTGTGTGTTACCACTTCTGATTTTTGCTTTATAGCGAAAAATTTGAGAATTTCAAAATTTTGCCTATTAACATTACTATGATGGCAAAAAATGTGACATTTAATGTTCGCTTATTGAAATAAACTATACCACTAGAAAGATCGCAAAAAACTATATATATAAGACAATTAAGCGACTAGTGCGATTTTTAAGCCGATTTTGAATTAAAGATGGTTAAAGTTGGCAAAATGGATACCAATTAGCATTTTTTGAATTGGTCATTTCTGCATTTTTTAGCATTTAAAACTCGAAATAGGATTGGAAAAACGTTGAACTCGCCTACTTGTCTTATATATAATTTTTACGCTCTTTCTAGTGATATAGTTTATCTTTCGTAAAAAGAGAACATGAAATTTTACAATTTTTCCGATCATAGTAATTTAATAAGCAAAATTTTAAAATTCTCAAATTTTTGGCTATAAAGCAAAGATCAGAAGTGGTAACAAACATAGTCTTATTCACCAAGGCTCGAACTATGAGAAAATGCCTGTTACCTGCTTCTAAGATAAAGTTGCCGTCCAGTTGTACAAAATGATGACTTGGCCAGCCGTATAGACTCTAGTATGCATAGGCATAGCCATAGATAATGAATATGAAATTTATATAATTATAAATTCAAAACTGCATAATTAAAAATTTCAAATTCTTGTTTACTGACGAGGGGACTATTGTTTGCTGTCGTGATATTCGCTATATGTGAGCTGTTCTGTGTCTTATGAGACTAACCGTTTATTTAAGCGGTTCAAATTTTCCTTTGCGAAAATTTTTTATCGAAAAATTGTTTTTTTATTGCCTTTTTTTCGATAATTTTTGGAATATTTCCATGATGAAGGTATGTTTTGCAGGTCTTCTTTTACGTGTGTGCTTTAGCCTTTACTATTCATACACAATTTAATTATTTCATAAAAAGAGAATTACTCGTCTTTATTTTGATACAGCGAACTGTTGGGAAACCTTTGAAGTATATGTTCGACGTGGAACGGATTTTGGCTGCTATGACCAACGTAGACGGTGATCCAAGCGAGGCCTGGAGGGCAGTCAATGGTTTTTGGGGGAAAGTTGTGCGTGAACTTGGATTGAAGAACAAGCGCCTTGTTCGGAAGACCTATTATCAGCGATGGATTGAAGACATAAAAGGTTTGAGAAGTCAATATACGAACACTATGTATTTGATGGAACGGAATGCAACGCCTGAAGTGTTGGCCATGGACGTAAGTAATCTTTTTAAGCCTAATGGCAATGCTAAGACTAAAGCTTGGTTCACATATGCCTGCGGCATGCCTGCGACTATATCATTATGCATTTACTTGCCGCCGAAATACCGGCAAAGTTGAGCTCAAGTCAACTTTCCCGGCCTACCGCCGATGTAACAGAGGCACTGGAGGCAATCGGCGAACAAATGTTCACATAATTTACGTTTTAAAGCTACCACTGGTAATGCGGTATCGTCGCTGGTACGTCGCCGGTACGTCGCAGGCATATATGTGAACCAGGCTTAAGCCTAAGCCTTAAGACTAAGTGGCTAAGGCTAAGCCTAAGCTGACGGAGACATGTTGAAATTATCAACGAAACAATGTTAGCCCAACTTATCCGAGTAATCGTTATGCAATAATGATTTAAAATGTATAAATTGGTCTTTATTCTTTGGCTTTGCTAGTAAATACTAGACTTTAATTTTAAATCGAATATATTAATATTATGAATATTAATATATGGCATATGCTTGTTTAATGTTGACTGTCAAGTATGAATATAAACCAAACTGAACTGTCAGTTTTAAAATATTTGCAAAAGGTCGGTAAGTACTGTAATCTGTATACTCGAATATTTATCAAAATATTTAGAAGGATTTGTGGGCACACAATTGAACAAGTTAGCTCATTACTCACATTAGTCATTACGATATTCATATAGGTCATTAATCATTAGACTTTACACATTCAGAACATATTACAAATTGAACTACTAAGCCTAAGGCAACAACTTAGCCCCAAACGGCAAAATGCCAAAACAACAAATTTTAAATGGAAAATGCTAATAGTCACAATATCAATAACTTCTTACGACTTACAGAGTCTGGACAAAATTTGACTGCAATTTATACACTTTATTACATACCTATATAGTGTATGAGCGGAATATCCTTCTTCAACACATGCATAAAAAAGAATTGTGAATTTTGACCAATAAATGTGGAAATAAGTTTAAATGCTGAGGAGTGAGGTACCAAGAGGGGCCATGGCTCCTCAGTCTCGTTTTAGTGTTTATCTTACATGTAATTGCAAAACGACAAAATTATTTTTTATACATGTGTTGAAGAAAGATATCTGTTCCTCTGCCCATAGGCATAGCCGGTGAGAAACAAACTTGAAATCTAGTTTGAACTATTTCATTTAATGTTGTCCTACGTTGAAAACAGTGTTGCTGTAACGTAATTTGACCCAGAATAGGCAGAAAGATTATTATTATTATTATTATTATTATTATTATGAACTATATTTCAACACGGTACAATTTCACCTATACTATACTGGCTATACTAAAATTAATTATGTACAAAATATAAAAAGAAAAAAAAGGTGATCTTGCAACCGGCCGTGCTCACACAAAAAGAAATAAGAAATAATTACAAGAAAATTATTTTAAGTAGATGGCTGATGGAAACAATGTCAATGGCAGGATCAATTGATGTTAATTTGCATGCTTCAAGTTATACTTAAAATTAGCAATACTCCAATAGTTGTTGATGCTTTTACCGATGCAGGAAGTTTCGTGACTATTATTTGCGCTATTGCCTCCTCTATGATAGTACATACAATAGTATAGTATATTATATAGTATATTAGTGAGATACTTCCTGTACCAATAGCCCGCGATCTACAAGTTTGGCTAGATTCAAATTTATCAATGTCATGTCACATAACAAAGACATATGGTGCCGCGTTCTATTGCCTTCACAACCTCAAACGCATCAGCAATAGTCTAGGACCTGTATATGAGTTTGTATGCGATTCATTTAGGACAGGTAATCTCAACTGTTTTAGGGTAAAATGACCATGGCGGTCAACATGGCATATGTGCGAAAACCTGAATCCGGGACGAAAGTCCTGAAAATGACCCCGCCCTGAAACGGCAGTGTCGACATAGCTCTAACTTCCGAAAAGGAAAAGCGACAGCCTTTCTGAAGTGCTTATAGTGTTTAGAAGGGTTGCTTTAGGGGTGGTTATTGGAAGGAAAAATTTGTCTAAGTATAATATTTTACCAGAAAATGACTATGCAACACCCCACAATCAGGAGCAAAAATAACTAGACTTTTCACGTTTTTGGCCATTTTCAAATACGTCGGCCTCCACCCTCCCCCCATGATCAATGTTGGAAAAAGCGGGTTGAATTTTCTTTGTTCAGTCATCCACACAACATTGAATTGGGGGTGAGGGGGGCATTTATGCGTTTGTCTCAATAATTTTTGCTCCTGATTGTCTCTATTTGTGCTTTTGAATGAAACGTAATTCGTTCATGTTGATTAAACTTATTGCTCCGGGAAAGACGCTGACTTGGATTTCTTGGTTAATGAACCTTTTGCTACACGCGTAAAAATCATCATGTTGTCGCACGTTGTCAACAACTTGTTCACGGTTGTTCAGAACAGGTTGCAGCAATGTTGTGCTGCACCCTGTCAACAAGCTTGTTAACAATATTGTTCACGCTTGTCCCAACAATGTTGTTGACGCCTGATGAACGAACAAGGCCTGAACAACGTTGTTGGAACAACGCAAATCAACCTGATATCAATGATGTTTTATATTGTCAACAACTGCGAACAATGTTGTTTTATCAATACGTAAACAGCCTGATATCAATCGTTTTCGACGCTGTTATTCGTGGCCATTTTCCAGGGGGGGGGGATTTAAAGGCACTGAGTTCAGCCTTCTGAGTGATGGTTTTTTTGGCGCATTACAAGCCTTTTAATTGAAAAAACTAACTAGGAAAATCAATTAAGCATAATTCAAGATCAGTGATTTCAATGTTTTTAACATTTTTAAACATTTCTAATGTTAAAAACATTGAGTTCACTGATTTTGAATTATGCTTAATTGATTTTCATAGTTAGTTTCTTCAATTAAAAGGCTTGTAATGCGCCATAAAAACCATCACTCAGAAGGCTGAACTCAGTGCCTAATAAATAAGCACACAAACAGACAAACTTCGCTTCTTGATATGAAATTCAGTTTATTTTGAAATAAGAAAATACAGATTAGTGAACAAATACAAACTAAAGAGATAATTACAGTAAAAGTACAAAGGTAAGATAACTATAAACTATTTTATATGCAATTAAGGTTTATAAAATACTCAGTATTATTTATAAATCTAAATAGTGTTAAGTGTTTTGACTTTTGAGTTCATAATGGGCTATTACATTAAAAAACCAAACCCCCCCTGTCGAGGACCTCTGCTTTTGGGGACTTTTACCCCTCTGGAATGCAAGAAAATCTGTGTAATTGACCCCTTTTACCCCTCTGGAAGTGCATTTTTGCTTTTTAACCCCTCTGGAAAGAGCATTTTTCTTCCATTTTTCCCAATTACCCCTCTGGAAAAAATGACTAATTTCCCCCTTGGAAAATGAGGTCCTCGACAGGGGGGGTACGGATATTAAATGTAATAGCCCAATACTGGTAAACCATGGCAGTATTTTAGAAAAAGGTAGTGCAACACTGGAACCTCTATAATTATTATTTAGGTATTGTCAGGATGGAATTTGAATCTGTTGGAGCAAGTCTATCACAGAGATTTTATGAACCATGCATGCAATTTTATTTGTACATAATCATATATTTGCCCATTATATTTATAAACTGACAGTTAATAATTAATCTTTCACAGACCAATAAAATCATCTGGGGCCGGTAGTTCAAAGGCTTACATGGGCTTCCAACAACCGGGCCCAGATGATTTTATTAGTATGTGAAAAAGTAATAGTATTAACTGTCAGTTTATAAATATAATGGGCAAATTAGAGATAGAGTATATAAAATACTAAAGTAGGCTCATTGCCAATTGATGGATTAGGTTAACATAATTAATAAACTATAGATGGTTTTGTTGCATCTCACTCGATGGAAATTTTAATGTTGGGTTTTGTTGATGGATAAATCGAGTACTTAATAATTTGAATTAAAATATGGACCTAACCAGGCCCTTATTGCCTGAATGGCATCTTATTCAAATAATCATTTAACTTGAAATAAAGGGATCTCCCTCAATTGATTTAGCCTGCAGAGGGCCAACCCCATTCCTGGATCACTTAACCTGAAATTCAGGCCCTACTTTCAATTTTCTGTCTGCATCCTTTTGAAAGTTCAATATTTTTAACCTTACATTAATGATAATGATTATTCAATTAAAGTCAACAATTTCTTTTTCATCCAGAGAACATGCAGTTAATTCAGTCCTCCTGAACTTGTTTGACACTCCTTAGCAGTGATATTTCTGTAGATCTGCCATTATTTTATTCCAGATATGAACTCACAGGCCCTATAAATTAAGATTAAATACATATAGTGCCATTAATTAACAAAATGGACCTTTGCAATGTTTATGCATGCACTAGTCAATTGAAACCCCGGTCCCCCGACCCCTGGGACAGGGCAGGGAATTAACGGGGGAATGGCCGTGGATTAACACGGTCTTAATGCAGCATTTCCCCCGGGGTACAGGGTAAATAACAAGTCAATTTATTAGCTGGGACAATTCCCAAGTCATGAAAATTTGCAAAGTGCCGGAGCCATAGGGGCGGTAACTTTAACAGTCAACATTCCCCCGGTAGCAGGGAAATTACCAAAATTTAACATTGTCAAAATGTTAATTTCCCCGCCCTATCCCGGGGGTCGGGGTTTCAATTGACTAGTGCATTATGGTGGGATGCAGCCCCAATTGTATGTTTTCCACCATATTTTACATGGGTCATGCCATATTTCTTCAGTACATGGTCATTTTTTGGTCCATGCCTGAGACATATATCATAATCTTGAATCTATTTTGGGTATTCAATCATGTTTAATAAGGCATAGGCAGTCCACACTGGTCATGCTATGTCTAAGTGCATGGCTAATTGCCAAAATAGCCTCAATCTACACAGACCACAACAAAGGTATAAAACAAATTACTTACCAAGTGATCACCCATTGTATATGATTTGTCTGACATATTCATAGATCTTTATTTTTATACTTAAGTTTACACTACAAAAAGGATAAAAATGAGACAATAATTACATTTGAGCATAATAATGGTCATAATTATCCCCCATAGCCATGTGAGAAATCAAAGCTACCTCCTTCATACCTTCCATGACAATTATAGTCACCTGCTTAACCAGGAAATAAAAGGAAATATGAGAAATGGCTAATTATTTAACTGTATGCATTCTTACCTACCTACCTATAATCTATCCATCACATATTATATGCAGTAAATACATCATTCTTGGTGTGTAAACTGATCAAGTATTTGGTTCACCTTGTTAAAACACAATAGGAATTGTTTATATATAGCAGTGATCAAACTTAAATTAATTACAAACAACAATAGGGACGGAAGGAGCGGAGGACATATGATATGATAGCGTTTTTGACATATTCAAATTTCAAAGTTAAAAAGACTCTGACAGAAATTTAGAGTGTAATTGGAAAAATTTAAACAATATTTTGAGAATTAAATGTTTACTTTATATTACTACTTTTATTTACAGTATGACCGTGGTTTCTTGTTTCATATATACTGAAAATATCGAGAAAAATATCAAAATGCAATGCCTATATAAAAGTACTATAAAGTTTGTGCGTGTGCATTTCTTCGTCGTGCACTATGAAAATGACTAAAATCAAAAGGTCGGGTTGTTTTAAGCTTTTACAACTAAACTTACCTCAAAACAAGACACTTACCAAGTTATTTTCTTCAGTATTTTCCCCTCAATCTTCAGAAAAACCACAAAGTTTAAGCGACATTTATTTTGCTGTAAAAGCCCGTTTGATTTCTTGCTCTCGTGATATTCGTCGCATTCGTCCGTTTTGCATCCCAGCGATTTCGAAACAACCAATAAAAACAAGTTTTCGTGTTGTTCAAATCATTATTTTACCGTCTATTTATAACAATGCTGTTCACGGTTGTTCGAACAACTAAGAACAACTTGTTCTTTCATCAATGTTGTTCAGGCCTGTTCGAACAATATTGTTGACGCCTGATGAATGAACAACGCTGAACAACATTGTTCTGACAACATTTATCAAGCATGTTTCATCAACCTTGTTGACGCTTGTTCCATCATGTTGCAACAACCATTGTTCGTTCATCAAGCGTGAACAAGTTGTTGGAACAATGTTGTTAACGATTGTCGCTTGAACAACGTTGTTCAGCCATGATAACAACATTGTTCAGGCATTGTTCAATGAACAACGCCGAACAACCTGATCAATTTTTACGCGTGTACATAATATTTTTTCTCAGCGGTTTTCTATAATTGAGTACTTCATGTAAAAAAAATATAGGTAATCTTGAGAACTATAGCTATTTTTTGTTTGGAAAGGACGATTAATTGACGAATACATACATGGGAAGAAGATTATAAAATAATAAATAAATTTCAGACAATTTTTTCCCTTGGCTGACAATCATAGGTATATTTTTTCTCTTAAACAGAACATTTCCTTTAAGTTCAAGAATTTTATAACAGACAACGCGTCGTTCAGACCCGATTTTGGAAAAATTTCAATGATTTTCCTACTTTTAGCTGAATTGTTACGTGAGATTGACATGCTCACTAAATTATAAACCCAAATCAAGCTTTTTATTCATCTTGATAAACGGACTTACCGATCGTAAACTTGCACTAGAATTTATTGCAAACTTCCATCTCCCATGATTTTGGGATTATGTGAGATGAATTCAAGCAAATCTGGTCGCACATGCGCAAAATCTCAATCTATTTTTATGTGCTGAATATAGACACGTTACACACACGTTAAGGCCTATCTACACGATACGACTAGTCGTATGCGATTGTTATCCTGGCGTATGAAAACGACTGCTGACGCCACTATTCCTGTTCATCAGTTTATGGCGAAGTTTGAAATTTGACATCTTTATACGCATTTATTCGAGTACATACGCCAGGATAAGAATCGTATACGACTAGTTGTATCGTGTAGATGGGCCTTTACACCACACGTTACACGACACGTTACATAATAATTTGTAGTAAAACATATAGAGATATGACAGGTTACACACGTTACACCCATTGTTTTTAAAAATATATATATATATATATATTTATTTTTTAAAAAATTGAGTGTAACGTGTGTAACGTGTCATGTTTCTATATTTTTTACTATAGTTTATTATGTAAAGTAGGTGTAACGTGTAGTATAACGTGTGTGTAACGTGTGTGTAACGTGTCAACGTTTGCTTAATGAACTCAAGTGCATAAAATTTACAGAAACTAATCACTTTAGATTAGCTGGTGAACATCCCACAAGCACAACAGCACATACTGCAGTATAAATGACAAAGTTTTCTTATTTTTTGTCATACGGCTAAGTTGAGAAACTGTAATACACTGACTCCCTCGTCAGGAATGATGGCTAATTGAGCTTGAAAGGACGTAATAGAAGTTAAAAACACTACATTAAATTTTTGTGGCTTATTGGATATGTCTTACTATATCGCCAAGTATTTTAATATTGATCGTACTTAGCCTACAGCTTGTCTATTTTCCCAAAAACGTTTCTCTATTAAGTAATGACAGTACAACAATTAAACTCGTCAGAAAAGCTTCTTTATTCTTGCCCAGGCCCCCGCGCAGCCTCCTTGCAGAATTTATACATTGTGCTGGACAAAAAACTTTCGGTTAATTGATTGAAATATGTCAATTTCATGTCAACATGATCGCTAGAGTTTGGCAAAATTTCAAACCCCCAAACAGCTCCATCTCAGCAAACCCCTCCATCTCAGACAATCAGGAGCAAAAATAACGAGACTTTTCACGTTTTTGGCCATTTTCAAATACTTCGGTCGTCGGCCTCCACCCTCCCCTATGATCAATGTTGGAAAAAGCGGGTTGAATTTTCTCCGTTCAGTCATCCACACAACATTGAATTGGCGGTGAGGGGGGAATTTATGCGTTTGTCTCAATAATTTTTGCTCCTGATTGCAGGTAAATTGCTGATTATGCACAAAATAACTAATATGCCTGGCAGAAATTAAATATTCTTGTTTCCTAAAAAAAAATTATCATGGGATGAAAAACTATGCTTAATTTAATATAAATATTGTTGATTTCATAAGGAATGTCATTGTTTTCTTTAAATATAATACATTATATTTCACTTACCCCCCACGAAAATACGATTTCAGCCATATTTTGCCGTCTTGTTTGCTTTTTATCGCCGAATCTCGCAAATATCATCCAGTTATTGTACTTTTACATAATCATAAATGGCTGAAGAAGATTTCAAAGAAGGTTTCATCCAATTTTGTAACAGTGCAGTGTATTTTATCTTCGATATTGTGTCCTTGGATATTTCGTCAAATTGCCGCCATTTTAATGGCTCGCAGCTTCTCCGTCTGATATTAATGCAACTTCTTCGTTTCCATATGTATTTAGATTACAGTATCCAAGAGCAAGTACATTACGTAATAGTTCCAATCCAAAAATTGGCAACATTTGCCCCATTAGGAAGGAAAAATCCTCCCATATAACATTTAGGTTCAAAATAATAAACAGATCATTTGAAAGTCACGCGCAATCTTCGCGTGGACACATTACAGGGGG